AAAATCAAAGGCATGAATCATGGAAGCCTATATAAATTACCTGCACATTTGGTTGAAATAAAAAGATACTTTCAATGGCTTTAATAGGAAGAGGTAGATGAAATTATTTGGGTAAATTTATGAAGTTTTATATTAAAAAAGATTAAATAAAAAATAAAAAATTAAAAATTAAAAGATCTTATTATATAGATCAAATATATAAATTTAAAAAAAATTTTAATACAATTTTCTATATTTTTTATATAGTCATTTTTAGTAAAAATTTTGATAAAATATTTATTGTTAAATAAGTATAGATCAAATTTGAATTATAAACAGTATTTTCAATAAATTTTTTATATATTATTAATTTACCAATTTGGATTTTTTTATTAAAGTTTTAATTGAATAGCTTATATTAAAAAATTTCATAAATTTCACCTAAAAAATTTCATTTAAATTTTTACAGGCTTCAATAATTTCTATCCCAAAAAATGGCTTTAATAAGGCTTCATTTAATAATTTTTACATACTTTTTATGAAATAATTTTTCTTAATAAAAAAATAAAAATTTTGGAGCGGTATTTTTTTTTTACTTTTTTTGTATAAAACTATATATTGCGTTTTGAATTATACAAATTGAATTAACTCTCTCTTTCCTTTAAACTTCACTTTCATATTAAAAATATTCTAATTTAAAACTTTCAAATGTCTTCTATTTGTAATTTCTTCATTGAACATACTTAAGAGTAAAATTATTCCAAGTGACATTGATTTCATTTTTCATCTTATTTGCTCTATCTATTACTCATTTTGAGGTCCTTGTCCCCATAACATCAAATCTCAATTTTCTTATTTAAAATCCCACTCGAGCATTTGATTTAATAATTAATATGTTGTATTCATATATTTAAGAGTAAATATTATTTGAGTCGAAAATCATGAAGCATGAACTTTTGACCATCCATGCAAGGTTAGTTTGGAAAATTTTAAATCGTGGACTAATATGTCACATTGGTCGTTAATAATTTATTTATACAAATTAAAAATTAAGAATTTATTTAAATATAATAAAAATATAAGCACCTATATAAATAAAATTATAAAATTCAATGATTTTTTTTATTATTTTAATCTAACTAAAATTTAGAGTCTCCATTATTGCCACATCATTAAAAAAGACTAAATATTTTTTTATACTTAAGATTATCTCAATTTGAACCATAATTATTATTGAAACTAAAATTCAACACCACTTAAAATTTCAAATCAATTTGCAACGAAGAGTTTGATTTAGCCTATGTTTGGATGTAATTGCACCTCTAATGAGGTGCAATTAAGCTCCAACGATCACCGGTTGAATTCAAATGTTAATTTCAGTGAGGTTTATTCAGCAAAAATTTTTTATTAATTTTTTTTCAATTGTAGTTATAGTAATTTTTTTTAATTGCAATTATAATAACTTTTATTATTATTTTTAATCTCACCGTAATTAATTTTATCATCAATCTAAATAAACTTGTTAGAAGTATTTGACAATCAAAAGGATATAATAGGCTTTTTCCCTCTTTGAAGCTTTCAGTAAATAATTAAATATATTTTTGTCATTTGTGTTGACTTAACATGTTAAATCGATTTGACATGCTCAATGTCATGTCAGTTTGGCATTATTTTTATTGTCCCCTAATGATCTCCACAATTTACTTATAAATATGAAAGCTTAGACATCATTAAAATATGTTAAACCTACTCTTTTTTTTCGACTTAAATTTTTTTGATATATACATCGAAATACAAACGTAAAAAACACACTCTATCTTTACTTCTAACCAACCTTTTCTTTTATCTTTTCAGGAACACCCCCCAGGTCAGAACTCGACACCGATAAAACCTTACTTTATCATCCATCCAAATAAACCCTTGCTCTTGAAAATGGCCGTGTACATGATTCCATCAAGAACAAAAAAGAATAAAAGGGCAATGGCCAATTGGAGTGGGAAGCCATTATCTCTTCATCGTTGCAAATTGCAATCTTTTTTTACTTTTTTTTTTTCTTTTAGAGTTGTTTCGATTTTCAACAACACAAAGGCCAGACCACGTGAGGGCTGAACGGATACATACTCAAAAAGCTCATCTCTCTCTTTGCCTTGTACAAAAAAACGTGGCCAGCTGTATTACAGGAAAGCAAAGTATTCTATTCTTCTCCTCTCTACTAAATACAAATACCAAAAGAGAAATTATAAACTTTGACCAAAAAAAAAAAGAGCAAAAAAATCCAAAAAAATTTATTCAATTTTTTTTATCGATTATGACTCGATTTTTGTGAAAAATATTATAAATGTAAAATTTTAAATACATTAAATTAATATAGAAAAATACACGCAAAAGATTCGAGCAATAACTTATAGAGAAGGATCCATTCTTTAAAGTAGGCTATCATAATACGGTAAAATTTGTGAAATAAAAAATTTAAAAGAAAATAAAATTTATAAATTTTTTCATAAATAAAATTAATAAATTCGTTGATAAATAAATAAATAAATATATAAATATTATAAGGGAACATTTTCGTAAAAATCTTAGATTCGCTATTGAGAACTTGGACCCTGACAAATTTTGAAATAGCATGTACTATAGTATATATACAAAAAAAAAAAAAAAAGGTAATGTTGGGGGTGAATGTGATGAAGGGTTGGCCTGCTACCACATACCATAAAAGCAAATTATAAAATTGAGAGTTGAGGGCTCAATTGGGGAAGATAGTGGTGTGAACTGGAGCATTTTAGGGTGTGAGATGGCAAAGGAAGGACACCTTGCCCCTCAATTAACATGATTGTAGGACACATTTTAACAAAAAATTAATTATTTGATACATTATTAATGTAGTTTTTTAATTTTACAAACATAATTAATTTAGTGATATATGTTTCATTTCTTCTTTTAATTTGATTTTTTATTTTTTAAATATACCTTATGGAACATGTCACATTTTATTAATTTCATTTGTAAAATTAAAAAATTAAATTGATAATGTATTTGATAATTTCTCTTTATCTTTTTTTATCACTCTTTTCCCCTTTAACTAACCCCTTTTGCCCAATTTAAAATCCATCATTTCATCATGAAAAAAAAATTATTATTTTGTCAAATTTCATAATGGCAGTTTGCATGTTGTAACAAGGTTTTCATGAAATAGATATTAATTTTTTTTAATTATGAAAGATATTAATCTTTAAGTAGTGATAATTGATCAAGTATCTATATGTATTCTATTGAAGGACTTTGGTTTTGCCAAAAATTTAAATTCTTGAATACTCATATTCCATAAATCCCTTTAAAATTTGCATGTATTTACACCATATGCCAAATTAGATAAATATATTTAGTATACAAGTAATATCACATTCATTTGTACAACTATACCAACTTTTGAAAAAAAAAAAATCAAGTGTTGAATCAAATTTTTTATTGCATGATATAAATAAAGTGGTTTTTATTTATTTTTTCATGCAATTAACATAGAAAACTATATAATAATTAAACAAAACTAACAAACCGAAATTTAAGGATGAAGAGAAATTTTAATCGAACGTTAATCGATAATTAGGAAAAATGTTCAATTTATATATAAGATTATGTGAAATCTAATATTTAATAAATATGAAATAATATCATTTTAATAAATTATCATCATGTATAGGCAGTGATAAAATTATACCACACGATAAATTTTTGAAAGGGTTTAAAGGTAAAGAGTATTATATAAGAACAACAAAATAAAATTAATTTATACTTTAATATTATATTGAATATCTAACTTAAAATTAATTAATAATAAATAAAATGACTCCATCTAAAGCAATATATAATAAATATAAAATAACAATACTTTAACAAGAGAGTTCTAGAATGAGTAGCAATAAATTTTTTTTTTACAAAAAAATTAGAGCTCGAGAAAAGTGAATAATATTATTAGTGTTAAAATTTAAAATTTAAACTTATAAAATATTATTTTTTTTTAAAAAATAATTATATCAACCAACTGAAAAACTCAATAGCGACAATCTGTCGTGTGGTTAAATGGCAACCAGCCAAAAGGGAATTTTGGATGGAGCTGGGTGGCTACAGTATGAAAGAAATGATGGTAACGTCATGGGATCACAAGGAGACATAACCCATTTCACCCTTCCCACCTTTTTTTTTTTCTTTTCTACGCCTTCCTTTGTTCCGTGTCTTTCTACTTTGTACGTTTAGCTTTGGCTTTGGCTTTGGCTTGGATTCTGCCACACACCAAATGTGACACGCTGTCAGTCTATATTGTCGTACCTTGTTTTTGCCTCACGTGCTTTTCACCGTGTCCACCTTTCAAGTTTCAACCTAGAATAATGTCATGCGCTGCTATCTAAGCGTACAAAAGGTTCCGCTTGGACGATCAGAAAAATTAATTTTGATAAAATTTAAAATAATAATAAAAATATAATTAATTATTATATTAATAAAATTAAAATCAATAATTTAATATACATTTAGATATAAAAACAATGATTATAATAAAATAAATTATAATAAGAAAATCATTAAAGACAATACATTTATATAATTATTAAATTATTTTTATGTCAAATAATAATTTTATTAATCAATAATTAACATTTATTTATTAATTTACTATATAGTAAATTAATTAATCTATTATTTTATTATATAATAATAAAAATTTATCTTTATATTAAATTAACAAAAATTACTTTATAATTTTTAAATAAAAAAATTAAAATAAAAAAATTAAATAATTAACAAGGTGCGAGTTAAAGAAGAAAAAAAAAGGAAAAAAAAAAAAGAAAGAACAGTGAGTAATCGATGAAAATTGCAACTTTAAATCTTAACACTCGCAATCTTTTTTATTATCATCAGATTATGATTTCTTTTGTATTAAAAAAAAAATGTAAAGACCTTAAAATCATTCATGGCAAATATATGAAGCAATAAAGTATATAGCATTGAAATCTTTAAAACCAATATTTTCTCAAATGCACAAAGCAATATATTATATATCAGATAAATAGCCAAAATTACAGCACTTGAAAAAGACTTCTACAACTCCAAATCACCAAGATAACCAAAAACATCCCAAGGAATGTAGCTTTGCATAAATAAGATGAATCCACATTAAAGATCCCATAAGTGTTGAACTAAACAATTTAACCAGCCCTAATACTCGTAAAAGTGGTAGAGGAAGATAGGATCGGCTACTCGTTACCTGGCATGGAGGGAACGATCATATGCTGTCCTTGTGCCTGCAAGATTTAAGGAAACCGAATCATTGGAATGCGAGTGAGAATTACGATTGCAACACATCAATCCATTCTCTAAAAGAAAAACCAAACACTCATTTTCCGATTCATACGTTTAGAGACACAAATTAGCAAATATAGAACAGATTGGCTTAGAGGGAGCGAGAGGGGGAGGGAGAAAGGACCTTTCTTTTACTACGACAATTTGCAATAACTTTTACTACATGTCCCGAGTTTTTGCCCGGAAGATATACATCATGTGTTACGCTGCAAACTATTCCATTGCCACTGCAATGAAGAAGCTTGTTGCTAATGCTAAAATATATATGTTTCTTCTTTTACCAACTAGATAAAATACGGAGCTTCGCATAAGTTTGAGCTCTTGACTACCATCGTTTTTTATTTTTGAAGCTACCCTTTCATCCAACTCAAGCAACATGCAGCCATATTCGCCTAATTAAATAAACAAAGATAATCATAATTCATTTTGCCTTATGAGATAAGCTGATCATATAGAAATAGGGTTTACTTCGGAATCTTTATAATATCCTGCCATCAAGAACTGGAAAGTAAGCATTTCTTTTCAAAGCTATTAAAATTGAAAATATGGTGTTTATATGATGGGCTCCAGGTGACTAGAATGGTATACTAACCATGTCTGACATGGCTAAGTATTGATGATCTCTCCTATCATCCAGTAATCTTATTAATTGTTGCGACTAGCATTGGTATAGCTAGCCTGCATGCCTAAACACAGAAACATGCATCATACATGCAAGTGCAACATATGAATGTAATATCTCAAAATCTTTTAAGTAAGATTAGGTATGAGTGCATTGTCCTGAAGCCTTTTCAATACAGGATTTATCAAATTTGATTACTCATCTATCAGACCAATTCCCTATTTACTCTCAATTTGGCTTGGACGGGGTGCTACCATGTCATACAGAGAAGTGGGAAGAAATAGCCTCACATTTGCTAGAAAGCAGGTAAAAAGGAGTGTTAGCTGCTAGATGAATTGTTGTTGTCCCAAATTGAGGTCAGGAGAGGAGAAAAAGTGAAGGGCGAAGGGGGAGAGGGAGGGGGTTGATAGCTTTGCAAGAGGCCTCATAGTCTAACAATAATAGATTTTTACAAGCTCTTAATTCTTGAATGATTCCTGATGGAACTCCATAGAATGAATCAGAGGGACAGTCAACAGTGTATTGATATAAAACATAATCTATAATATGTGATTAAATGACTGTAAAACTTTCAGTAATGGTTGGTGCAAAATCATGTACATAAATAGTTATCCAATCAATCAATTTTTATGAAAATTATATAATATCGTAATCCTATCATTCATCCTTTAGTCCTTTAATATTCCAGAATCCTATCCTCATTGGAGAAAAAAGTTTCCTAAAATGCAAATTATGATAAGCACATCATGGTGTGCAATGCTTTACCTAATTCAACGCCTTATTCATCAAGATTTATACAGGATTGATGCATTTTTTGTTAAAAGACCCGAATTGGCAAAGCCTTAGGCAAAAATAGTACTCAGTGCGGTTATTGTGCTTAAATCATTTTACACTTTCTAAAATAGGAAACCATATGAGTAAGGGAGAAACCCCATGAAAGAAAGCTTGACTCTGTTGATACTTTGTTGGAAAGAATAGGTTAAAATGAGAGTCTATCTTTTCATAAGGTCTAACCTTGATCCCCGGATGGTACTATATTCCTCACCCTAGTGAAATTGACTGAAAAAAGAAATTTTATGGTGCTAAGATAACCAAAATGAAGCAAAGGATTTGAGATACAGGACTAGGAAAATAATCAACTCTACTAGTAAAATCTAGTGCTAATCAAGCCTGATAAGTGAATGTTTAAAATGAATCTAATGAGCAGTGAAACATTAATCAACACCATATTCTTTTCTTTCAAAAGGAAAGACAGATATAAACAACAAATGGGCAAATCTTGTATTAAAAAGCAAAATGAGAGAGAGAGAGTTACTTGGGAATTAACATAGTTCAATGATCCCTGGATTGCAAACTGCAGGATTTATTCACCAGCAATGTAGAGTAATATGGTAACATCAGTTGAGGACTTTACAGAATGAAAAACATGCCAGGCATATAAAATTCTAGCCCAGAACAAGAATCTAAAATAATATCATTGTTTCACCTGTGGATTTTGGGCAGCCATAGCTCCAACTGCATCTCTTTTAAGAGACCCATCACCACCCCTGGCAGATCCCTTGGTGTCACCCTGACAGTTAGAAAGTTAGTGCAGGTAATGTTACTCCCGGTCTTAAAGAGAAGACGCTATCCAAATATGCTACTAGAAAATATATTAGTGGTGAACATGCGAGTATAATTACCTCCAACTGTGCATCATGTTCATTCCAATAACATCAGTCCCAAGAAAAAGGCAAAGAAGAAAGAAAGAAATAGTCAGATCAAATTTATAAAGACTAAGCAGACAACATAAATATGAAATTGTCAGGAATCAAAACATCAAGTTTTGGACTTCTAACTCATGTCAATTGAGACTTATATAGATTAGTTACTTGTATGATTCGCAAGACAATAACAACAAACAAAAAAAGCAGAATAGAACAAAAAAATTCTAAACTCCATCAATCTTCTAACAGCCTAACAGGTTCTGGGCCAAAGATAAATCCACAAACTGGATCAAGCAGAAAGTGATGTAAATAAACAAATTGGTCAAAAGTTAAAGCCCCACATACCTCCCTGTACCTGGCCAGGTATGTTTTAAGTGGCTCAACATAGTCTTCAAATCCTAATGTTGCCATCGCCCATAACAAATCATCTCCATTAATTGTCTTCCTCTTCTCTTTCTGACATTTATCACTAGCCCTACAAAACAAACAGCTCGACCTTATAACAAAACTAAACCTGAATTCCAATAACACAAATATCCTAGTTTCTCATCATACTAAATATCACATCCCTCAAAAACTAAACCTTTACCACCCCAAAAGTTTTTAAAAAAGAAAAAGCAAAAGTTTTTAACATTCTAGAAACCAACAAGAATATCACATTCAAAACAAAACTCCCAATTCTCATAATCACATCCCCACAATTTCGGTATCGCCAAATTCACAATTAAACAAGTTAGAAAAAAATAACAAAATTCCCAAAAAGACTAATAAAACCAAGATTAAGACTTTACATACTCGCTAGTAATGAAGCTAATGAATTCAGAAACACATTCTTGAACAGTATCTTTAGCTTCCTTGGCAATTTTCCCATTATAAGGCAATGCTTTCTTCATGATTCTACTTATATTAGCAATTGGAAGGTAACGGTCATGTTCTCTCACATTTGAGTGAGGACTGCTTTGCTCTCCTCCACTCTCATGACTCCCTCCCGCTGGACTCGTTGGCCCCCCTGCCATACCATCAGCCATGTCCCTGATAAACCAAGATCACTAATAAAAAAACACAGAAAGAAACACAAAAACAAAAACCCATTAATTGTTTCTCAATATTTTACAATCAAAGAGATACCCAGATGCATATATGCATAAATAAACATACCCAAATGCATATATCCATCCATATATACAAAAAACTCAAATTAAACAAAAAAAAAAAAAAACCTTAATCACTTATCAGTATTTTAACAAAGGGATACCTAGAGATGCATATATGTAAACATAAACATAGTCAGATGCTCATATACATACACACATACATCCATGGATGTAATGCCATATACACTAACAATTTAACATACATACATAAAAAAGTAAATACCCATTATTCAATTTTCATTATTTTCAAAAACAAAGCCATGTTTACATACAAACATAGTCAGATGCTCATATACATACACACATACATCCATGGATGTTATGCCATATACACTAACAATCTAACATACATACATAAATAAAAAAGTACATACCCATTATTCAATTTTCATTATTTTCATAAAAAAGCCATATTTACATACAAACATAGTCAAATGCTCATATACATACACACATCCATCCATGGATGCCATGCCATATACACTAACAATCTAACATACATACATACATACATACATACATACATACCAATTAATCAATTTTCATTATTTTCAAAAACAAAGCCATACATACATACAAACATACTAGGGTTTAAAGAGAGAGAGAGGAACCTGAAGGGGAAAAGAAATAGAGAAGAAAATTGGGTTTTTTTTTGTTTCTTTTGTATTTGGCGCGAGAGGAGCGGATTGGCGGAGATGGTTAGTAGTATTCGTTTTTTTAGTTGGGAAACGAACGAAAGAGGATCTGACGATGGAGAAGCGAGGAAGGAGAGAAAAACAAATGAAGATTGCTTTTTTTTTTTTTTTGGATCTAGTATTCTGTACCAGCTCTAATACCCACGTTTTTGGGCTATTTCTAGTGTGGCTTTGATCATTAACCCATCAATCACTCTTTTTTTTTTCTTTTAATGATTTTATTATTGATTTCTCAAAAATTACCATTAAATCTAACAATTTAAATAATTTTTTTCGCATGAATTAATATTTAATATATTATCAATATAAAATTTTAATTATATAAAATGGGTTTAAAATGATGATATATATCTTTTAAATATATTTTAAAAATAAAATATATATAATTTTTTTGCTCTAAATTATATAATTAAAATTTTATATTGATAATGCATCAAATATTATTATTTTTAAAAAAATTAATTTAAAAGTGAAATAAAATATATGTTATCAACTTCGTTTATGAAATTAAAGATTGTCATTGTTAATATATTTAATAATTTTTTTATCATCATGAACGAATTTAAAAGAGAAAGAAAAAAAATTTAAACCTTAAATCTTTTGTTTTAAAAGAGTAACAATTGTGAGCGACACCTAGATGAATAGGCTAAAAGAAGTGTTTTTCGCTCTTAAAAATTTTGTTGGTTCATTAGTTGAAAGACTCAATCCATATTTTTTTTTTTCAAAGTACTCCAAGTAAATAAAAAAAATTCGAATATTAAGATTTGAGTTTTGTTACCAAACCTTGATGAATAGGCTAAAAAGTGAACTCTAACTAAGCAGGTTGTTTCACAAAAGTTTAGACCCAGCCTGAGGCTAATCTTAGGTGTCGTTCTTTTAGTTCAGCCTTCCCTGCCATCATAATTATAATTATCATTAAAAAATTACCCTAATTGAAAAGTTTATATATGTTCCATTAAATCATGTTCAAAAAAATTACTTTATTAAATGTAAATTAAAAACTCAATCGTCAGTGTGTATAAAATATCTTAAGTTTAGATTTCATTGTATTTTTGATGAAATATGATTAAATTCGTTGTATTACCAATGTGAAATTTATTCAACATAAATTTTTTATTAAAATTTTTTTAATTGTAATTATTATAATTTTTATTACTATTTTTACCGAGCCTATTTTACTGTTCATCAAATGGAGCATTAGTGAGGGTTTGGATTCTATGGTGCCAATTGAATCCAAATGATAGATCTAGTAACGTTCGTTCTACATAAATTTCTCATTAAATACTTTTATTACTATTTGTAATCTCATCGGAATCAATCTCATCACATTTGGAGCCTTAATAAAAAATTAAAGTAAACAGGAAATTAGACAGAGACAAGAAAAGCAAAAAAATAATGTAGGCTATGATAGCTTGCAGGTTATTTCAAGCTAATTAAAAAGTAACCAAAAAATCCACAACCTTCGAGCTGGCATGCCAATGGTGGCTGATTTCAAGAGTATAATGGATGAATCTGGCTAACAATTCCTGCACAGAAATCAGAATATTATTATTATTATTATTATTGGAGGGGAGGTCCTGCTCGTATTTTGTCAAGGCAACAGACACACCGATGCATGTAGTTTTTATTTTTTATTTTTATTTTCATCTTTGTCAAAAGAGACTATAACCCCTTGAATAAGAGAAGGATTCCAGGGGATGAGATTTGAATTCTGAATTTATTGAATACTTCCTTTCTCTTAAGGTAACCGCATGAACCAACTAAATGAAACTCTGGATTCCAAATGCATGTAGTTTTGCTAATTCAAACATGTTTCAGCTGAAAACTGAAAGGCCTACTCTCACTATAACTGAGTTGAAATTTAAGATTCACCCAAAATTGAAATATCAAGTTCTAACCATTGACATAAATTTTTGTGTTGAAAAACTATAGTTTATATCCAACATGACATGAAATAAACTAAAAATGTACCTGTTTGACAAGGAAAAAAGAAAAAAAAAAAAAATTTTCAAAGTTATTTCCATGTAAATAATTCTCTCCAAATTTATACTTAATTCTATACATCATTCAATAAAAAAATAAAACTAAAAAAAGAAAGGCTAAATTTTGCTAATAAAAATATGTAGAGAAGGCCGAGAAAGTCCCCTTGGATGTTTCAATTCAGCATTGAAAGGAAAATAATATGAAAAGATGAACAGTATTTCAAGGTTTAGACCAAAGCACAAGTGAAGTAAACACATGGCTTTGTTTTAGTTAAAAATTCTGAGGACATTTTGGTAGAAAGACAGTCTTGCAAACCTTTAAGCCTAGTACTTGCACACTAGTGCATAGAATCCAAATTCTGCTTAATTCCAAGATCAAGATAAGGTTTACTCCTACATTTTATAGGGAAGACACCAATACACAATCAGATGGATAATCGGTGAAATTCAATACCTTTTTCTGAAAAAGAAAAACCTACATACAATATCCAAATTTGTATGAAGCCATATCATTTACAACAAACTAGCAAAAGCTAACTAGAAACTAAATGTACAGCAACAGCGATTTTTTTATCAGAAAGCATTATGACTAATGACTCTTTATGCATTGAAACTAGTGTATAAGTAAAAATTGCTAACCTCTGTACAAGGGTCATAATGACCTCTTAATAAGGTCATAGAGAGAGATAACAATGTCAGCACTTATCAACACAATGACGAGCCACTCCAGAAAATTTGATTTCCTATTTTGAAGAATTTCTTGAAGAAAGTGAATATTGTGCTGCAAAGGCAGAAAGGGATGTCACATGTTAGCAGAGAGGTAATGTCCAATGTCTTCTACGGCTTTGCCATAAAAAAGCAGAATACCAGTAATGACTTTGTTTCATGCATAAATATGTTTGAGCAGTACATATGCGCATGTATGCCTTGTATTGCCCTTTTTGTAAAGGTACATTTCTAAGAGAGCAAAAACATAATACCTCCACAAACTTCAACTTAAAATCAAGACCTGCAAATCTTTGAGTTAATTCAAATTCATCTCGTAGAAATTCCCATATTTGAGCATATTTGGCATCTTTCCAGGCAATATCTGATCTGATAAAACCAAGAAAAAATGCATGAGCTAAGTTAAGTTGCATACACTCCAAAAGAGACATTTCTATTGGTATTTTCATCTAATCATAAGACCAATCCAAAAACAGATAAAAGGAAATTAATGGATTATCAAAAATTAATTTGGAAATAATACCCATGCACATAATTCCATGGTCATGATACATATTATGGGACAATTACGTTCAGAATGGGATGTAAAAAGTTACCTCTCAAAAAGTCCAAGCTTAAGAATCACATCAGCAAGATTAGAATTTGCCTTTCCTACTATCTGAAAAAGTTTTTTGCTGTCCATGGTAAATGTTCCTGTTTTTTCCATCCCACGGTTTATGTCGGTAAATTCAGCAACCATCCCATCAACCTAAGATAAATAATCAGTTTTGCGCATCCTTATCAAGTTAAACGTTCAGAAAGTAGACATTGGAGATCAAATACTACACACCTGGCGCACATAGTAGTCAAGAGCAATACTTTGACCAAGAACACTTCCAATGATACGGATTCCATCAATATTCAAGAATTGCAACGTAATGTAATCCAATCCACCTTGCATCCATGTGTTTAGAGTTGGCTTCTCTCTTACCTCATACTCTGCAAGTTATAACACATCACCACCCAATAAAATAAAAACTCCTTAGTGCAGTACCTGTTGCATTTCCCTGTTCCTTGGGAAAGAAACAGATCAAATCTCTAATAACAGGGCATAGTGCGGAAGAATGATTATTCCAAATATGTTAAAGGAAAAAAGGTCTCGTCAGAAAACTGAACCATAAAAATATGCTTCGAATGAGTGAAAATATTTAAAAAAGAAGAAACCCATGGAATATGATAGTAAAATACCAGGTTGATACCCAAACTATCTCAACTCCTTCACTTCCCACCAAAATCCATTTCACATGCCTGTATATCTCTTGTGTGTGGTGTTAGGATATGAGAAACCACAATGTTAGTTAATGAGAGCAAGCGTGCAGGAGAGAAAGCAATTGGCAAGACTGTAAATGGAAAAAAAAAATTGAGGAAAAAAGACAAGGATAATAGAGAAAAATACAAAAGATAATTAAGCCATGGATTTTTCATGGCTTTAAGGCAATACTTCACAAGGAGGACCTCTTTCCTTTCTCATTCGCAAAGCACAACAATAAAACAAGTTGAGAAAAGGGCTAGCAAAAAGAGAGGAAGAAAAAGACAGGAGGAAGAAAGGATAATGATGACATATTGGCCCATAAAGCCGTTATCCAAGATGTTAAACAAAGTTTTTATTTTGAGCATTTTTAAATACTCTTCTCTTGACAGGATTGACTGGTGATCTTGATGAAGATAGATGGAGAAAGGAATTTGTATGATTATGCTAAAGAAAAAGGACCATGCGCTATAACGGAACTTAAATGCATGATCACATTAATTATTCTTGTTCTAATAAAATCATGTCAGCTCCCAACATTACAATTTCTAAATGATAGATCTCTATTCACAACAACTCTATAAAAGGAGCATAAAATAGTGAGTTAAAAGATAAATTAAATAAGAATATATGAACTTACCATCCTTTCTCATTTCAGGAAGCAATCCTGATGCATGTTGCTCAACAATTTTCAGATAATCATCCACTTCATGTTCGTGCACATTGAACAACACAATGGAGCCATAATGGAATACCACCATGAAACAGCAGTCACTTCCACTTATGAAGGCACCAGGACCCTGAAACAAGAAACTCATACATCAACCATATATTGATTACTTATCTATATCAATTCAGAAAAATCTGTGAAAGGATATTAGAGAATGCTAAGATCCATTGTTTGAATGATAAAACCATTGCTTTGCTTCTAGAAAGAAATATGGCAAAGAGTGTGGCAATGCTTCATACCAGTGATATTCACATCTCACATCTGTACACAAAATTCTCATGCTCAGTTTAAATTTGTTCCCAATTAATCCAGAATTGACAGATAGTTGTTTATAGGATGCAAACTATATATTCTTTATCAGTTCCTTCATTTGACTCTAGATGAAACAACAGAAGGCTTAATATAACCATGTAACCTAATTCACAGAGAGAGAGAGAGAGAGAGAGAGCAAACCTGCTGCACACATATTAATGACACTATGACAATACATCTTAAAAATAAATCTGGATTCCAGCAAGCACACCCCCATTTTTATTACTTAAACTAGTACAGGCATTAGGAAGCTTTGCACACTAGGAGAGACAAGGAAGTTACTTATTCTTCAAATATTCCATTATTTCATAGGTAGAAGGAATGATATTAACAAGACTGCCAAGAACTAAAAATTCTCAGTTTTTACACACTAAATCCCAAAATATGTCTGCCTACAAGATAAAGGGAAAAACTTTTCACCAACTTCCTGCATAGTGAAAACAACGGCATCCTAACCCATCTAAAAGACCTCCACAACCATATTCCTCTCTACATTGTTTTCAAGAAACCATCAACGACACCCAAACATAAACTCTGTGTTGAAACTTGAGGCACATAAACTCAATTCCAAGGTTCATTGTCGGTTCAATACCAGTTACCACCAATTTAACCTCCCTACCATTTCCAAAATAATAGACTTCTTATTCTTTTTTTTGGGATTCATCTTATGAATCAAACTATAACAATTATGTTAAATGAAATATATGAATAAATATGACATAAGAAACAAAATGCCATAAGTGAGTTGAAAGCATTGACAAAGATTCTCATGACCAAACATAATAATAATAATAATTAAAACTAAGCCTTATATCCCATAACTCTAGAGTCGGCTGTAAACAACAACAACAACAATAATAATAATTGATCATAGCTCTTAACAACAAAATAAATAGAAATTAAGGTTAAGATAAAACTTACAGGTGAAGTAGCAAGATTGCCAAACTTAAGAACTATATAATTAGTCATTCGCGATGTGGGTGGTATAAAATTTTGCTTGTTCAGCTCCACCAATCCTTTCAAATCCACACTACACTCAAAAAGGGAAAATTTTAATTATTTGATTATTGATAAATTAAAGTATATAAATAAGTAACAAAAGCAATCAATTTAGGGTTTAGGGCTTAAGCATCGGAGATTTAAGTTCAAAATTTACTCCAATAAACATTTTAATTATTTAAGTACTGACTAATTAAAGTAACATAAATACCTAATAAAAGTAACAAATTTAGGGTTTAAGGTTTAAGCATCAGAGATTTAAGTTCACAATTTACTCCAATAAGCAACACCGAATTTGAGAACAAATTGATTCTAATTATTTTCCACTGAAAAATGCAAAGAATAACTGAATTATAAGAACCTTGTGGAGAAAAAATAAGCTCGAACTGGAATAGAGCGTTTAGTGTCTTCTTCCAACGTTCTATCATCGACGTAGTTGTCGTCGCCAACATCGCCTACCTCCGAGGAGGAAACGGCGTCGTTCCAATCAACCACCGTTTCCGGTTGCAGCGTCGGAATGGAGGAAATGCGCCTGGCTGAAACACTCCAGATGGTGTTGCGGCCGCTTCCTCCTCCACCTCCGTTGAAGGTCCATGAGATAATGGCGGTGGAGAGGGTTTTGGCGGGAGCGAAAGAGGATTGGGGTTTAGGGAGAGGAGAGGAGAAACAGAGGAAGGAATAGTAAGACAATGTTTGGATGCGGGTTGTACGAACAGAGAAGAAAGGGAGTTGGTGAATGGAACGCAACATTGGCTTTTTGTCATTAAACGAACAAGTAGTTTCTATGGTTTTTTGGCCATTTTATATGTAGGTTTTATTTACAAACATTTTGTTTCGAGGGTTCTCAATGTACCCACTTTCTCTTTACTAATTTTTTTTTTTTAGTTATTTTACATAAACTACTTAATTATTTTTTCTTGAATATTCATATTTAGTAAATTTATAATTTACCCAAATTGAATTATCGAAAATTTTTATAATTTACTGAAAATATATTTTCGAAAATTTATAAAACTTTCTATTTCCATAAAGAAAATTTATAAAATTTTTCAGAAAAATTACAAAAAAAATTATTAAAGATTTTTACTAATTGATGTAATAAAAATTATTATTGAAAAATAATAAATTTTAAAATTAATAAAAAATAAGTTGATTTTATTATTTTAATTTTAAATAAAAAATAAAATCATATAAAATCTTAATTGAACATTTCATCTCTTAATGTTATAAGAGATAACGAAAAAATTATTAAATCTGATCAACATCTAAGAATTAAAATTCTTAGAAGTTATACAAGTAATATTACTAAATATTACATACTTTTATTAAAATCGAATATGATAACTAAAAAATTTATCATGATAAATAGATGAAAAGATTTCTTCCAAGAATTCAATTTAATTAAAATTATTATAAAATTTTAATAATCAATATAAAAAAATTACATTTACTATTTTATTTTTAGTTTATTTAGAATCTCATAAGATCTTTTTTTTTCTAAGGTCAAAACAATAAAGTTAATTTTTTATTAATTTTAAAAAATATAAATTTTTTCTAATAATAACTTTTTATTACACTAAGTAATAAAAATTTTCAATTATATTTATATATTTTTTCTTAAAATTTGAGTTTTAAGCTTTCCAAAAATCTATTTATGATAAATTATAAAATTTTTCATAAATTCATTTTTGGTAAATTACAAAACTTATCAAAAATTTATATCCAGATATTCAAAATTTTATGGAAAGATAATTAAGTAATTTTATTTATAAAAAAATTGAAAAAAATAATGAAGCGTGAAGAACAAAAAGTGATATATATTTAGATCCCTTTTTTTCATTTTAGAAGAATTTTTTAATGTACTAATTATTTTTATTTTTATTTTTGTATGGTCTAATTTTTTTAAAATTTTTTCATGTGTTAATGGTTCTTTTCGCGAAGAAAAGTTCTTTGATGCAAACTTTAATCATTTATATTCAAAGTAAATTTTTTGATGAATTCAAAATTAATTTTTAATCTCTCGAATTTGAATATGAACTTTATGTTATATTTTAATAAATAAATTATGATTCATTTTTGTAATATAATAATAAAAAATGATTTGTTTTCGTATTTTTGCTGTCAACTTTTTCTCTTGAATATCACATTTTATTTTGTTTTTGAATTTTTTTAGTTTCATTTTTTAGGTTGAACAAAAATTGGTTAGAGTTCATTTAACATTGTGGTTGCTATTGAAAATTTTTTAAATTGAAAAATGTGATTAAAAATTTTAAATGTTTGATATTGTTATGGAAAATTAATGTGAATAGTTAAAATGTTTAAAAATATATATAAAATATTAAAAATATAAGAATAATATAATAATTTTTTATCCTAAGTATACTTTTTTCCCTGAAAAATATCTTAAGAAGTTTTTTTCTTTGGATTTAAAATTCCAGTTTTTGGACTAAAAAACCATATTTTTATTATTTAATATTAAATTATAGACAAAAAAACCATTTCTTAATGCAAAATTTATTTTCAATAGTAATGTTAAACTAGACCTTAGTAATTTAAAAAAAAAAAGCATTTTATAGATATATTTTAGGGAAGAGGAAATAGTTTATTCTTATAATGACTAAGAAAATAAGAACATGTTTTTCAAATTTTATAGAGTTTAGAAATTAAAAAAAATTCCAATTATTAAGAGTGAAAAATAATAATTTCAGAAAAAAGGCAATTTTAGGCTACCTTCCTGGGCTTTAAAGGATTTAGAAGAAGCATAGGACTAAAATTTTGAACCTAAAAGTTAACTAGACCGGTTCATGAAACCATTAAAATGTGATATCTAGCAAACTTGTGATTCGAATTTTAATTATGTTATAAGATTAAGATGTTATAACATGGTACATTGCAATCCGTTTTACAAGATACGACAATCCTTTTGTTCCATTTTACCAGATATACAACAAAAATACAGGAATCACTATAATTACAGGACTCCCCAAGCTAAATCACACATTGCAATCTGTTGTAATATACTCCTAATTAACAATGCATTCTAGTTCAAATCAGGTCAGATGTATACATACCTTGCCTGTATGAGGAAAACGATCAAACGGTAGTTCTCTGGCTGAAAGGCACGGTTACTGTCTCACGACGACGTATTCTCATTCCTTCTCAAATCGGACCTGAAGAGATCAGTTACCCAGCTGGGTGTCCGGTGAAAGGTCATGCAAATGTTGTTCCCAGTCCATCTATGTTGTGGGCAACATATGCTTAAATATGATGATGCCAACAGGTCAAGATTTTCGATTTTCTACGGTCAAGCTCACTTTTTTCTGCTGTAATAAGCTCCACTTCCTGAATGGCTATGATGCCGATGACGTGGTACACCACTCCTGCCACTGGATCCTTCCCATGAGTGTCCACGGCCATAAGCTTTGCTGTTTCCACTCGGCCAATTCAATGTCTGTGTTCCAAGTCCATTATTCTCCTCCTCTACCCTGTCATTATACTCCAAGACCAGCCTCTTAATGTCTCGTTTCTCTTCGAACTCAGCTGCTTCTTTCTGTTTTGTGCTCTGGACAAGAGTACAATCACGAGGAATATACATTTGTTTTGTCTGTTGTTTGTTCCCTCGCTTCACAAGAACTTTCACCTGCACCGATCTGCTTCCTCCGGCCTCTTCATCCAGTGCTTCATCACCACTTTCCACTCCAACTACCCTTCCATGATAATCTTTAGTAGAACCCTCAAACACATTCATTGGGATCATCATGTTTAATGTAGGTCGGCCCCGTAGCTCCAGCTTCCGCTGCTCCATGCTCTCCTGCATTTAAAATCGATTTAAAATGGACAGCAAAGTCAACTATTTCTTCCTAACTCAATTTGAACCCGGCAAAACCACATTAGACAAAGAAAATTAAAGAATATTAGCAGAACTTAGCATAGCAGATATTTTGACATGTATATTCTCAAGTACATAGAATATTAAAATAGAATAGGCAATAAAGATACAATGGGATCCAACAGCAATAATTAAGAACAAACAAAAACTTGCCTGCACTACAGCCTTGAGCTCCTGGTCAAAATTGGATACTTCTTGAGGATCCAACCCTGCTACCTTCTGCCTGACATGAACTTCATCATCCTCATCAGAAGCAGCTCCACCATCATCCTCTTCCTCCTCATCAGTGTCACTTCCATCATCATGATTCTCTTCATCCAAATCATCTTCATCATGTCCTTCTAGTTCAATGGTGCCACTCCCTGATTCACTGTCACTGTCACCAATTTCCTCATGCACTGCACCATTTTCCTCAGAACCATTTAGAATGCTTGATCGATCAGCTGAGACGGAATTGGCAGTTGTCCTGCTAGAAGGCTTTTCAGTATCGGAGTGCTTGTCACTACTTGTCTTGTCAGTTGAAGCAGAATGTTCATGTTCCTCAAGATCTACCAAAGCTGCATTAACTTCATCAATAGATGAATACCGAATCATGTTGGGACGTAACTCTGCAAATAAGTCCTGTATATTCTTCAACTTGTCAGCTTATCACATTTATCCATCACAGGCAGACATTCTTAGAAAAAATATACAAAAGAACATAAACTGAGAACTAATTATATATAAAGGAAGCTTCATTATCTTTGCCAAGATAGCTTAAGTTTTATTATAACCGATCAACTGGAGATTGTACAGACTATTGAATATTTTACACTAATGCTAAGACAAGTTTGCTAAAACATTGCATGATAACAGTCAATTGCAATTTAGGAAACATCTCCAAGCTAGCAAGATCAACGAACTAATAATTCCAATTTATCATCTATATAAAGCCCCATTAAACATGGTATCTGTGGGAAAACACTTATTTACAGCTGGTTGTAATCTTGTAATCTGTATATTTATATTTGTATCTCTAGAATTAAGTATTTGTATCCCTAGAATTAAGGAAGATTTAGTTTCCTAGTTTAACCCCTAGTTAGTTGTATATAAACCTAAGATTCTTGTATAATTGCAAATAAGCAGTTTTTCAATATACATTCAATTTTCACATGGTATCAGAGCTTTAGGCTCTTCTTGGGAAGAAAAATTTTCAGCCTTCATTGCTGACTTTTTTAGGCCTTCATTGCCGAATCCTGTTTAGGCCTTCATTGCCGAACCCTTTCAAAGAAAGATATCACTATCACCCAATTTGAGGAAATGTTAACTGAAAAAATCACTGGAGTACTACAGATGTCTCAGAAACAAAGAGAGTTTAACAGAGAAGAGATTGAAAAGCTGAGAAACTTATTGAAAATCCTTGAAAAGCCTACTATGGTATGTTCTTTGGGTAAAGTTTCTAGTTCAGGTAAAGCTTCTGGTTCTCATGGATTAAATGTCTCGGCTAAGCCTATTACGAGTTCTTGGGTCATTGACTCAGGAGCCACAGACCACATGACACATTCCCCACAAAAGTTTAGTACATATAACCTGTGTCCTAGTAATAAGAAAATTGTTGTTGCTGATGGTTCACTTACCACAGTGGCAGGATTAGGAGATGTTCAAGTTAATCCCTCGTTTGTTCTCAAAAATGTTCTTCATGTTCCTGGGTTGTCTACTAATCTGATATCTATACAAAAACTTACCAGAGATATGAATTGCAAAGTAACTTTTTATCCCTCTTATTGTGAATTTCAGGACCAGAGTTCGGGGAAGATGATTGGACTTGCTAAGGAGAAGGATGGACTATACTATCTTGAGACATCAAATAACACAAATAGTATCAAAAATAGTTTACCTTTGTCATTTTTTTCTGAAAAATCTTCCAATAA